CATAAGTCGACTTACAATCAAAATTCCAGATTGTTTCCATTTTGCATTTGCGCTGTTTTGAGACGCGTTCGAGGGGTTCGAGCCGTACTTTTATACACGTTTATTCACGAATACATAATTACAGTGTTGTTGCACATACATGAGTATCCCGAAGAGGAGTATGACAGGTTTTATTCCGTTTATATTGGAATTAGAGATTATTAATTCATAGCTCAGTACGACGTGGGGTAGTACGCCAACATACTTATTGTACAAGTCATTGAGTCAGAGTTTTGGAGGTTTGATTTAGCAATCCGTCCCGTACTAGGGTACGATGAGGCTCGTGAGCCGTATTTTTAGGATGCCTATTTGGTAGTCCGTCTCACACTCAGGTTACGTACTGAGTTGCGATAAGACTAGTGAGCCGAGTATACAGTTAGGATGCCGACTTGGTAGTCCGTCACGCATGATGCTGCGATGAATCATAACTTGCATGGATTTGCATGGTGATGATTTCTTGATAGCCTGAGTCCATGGCGGATGCCAATTATGCATAAGACTCATCGCTTAGATATAATACCGAGATACTTTGCTCTTGAAAGTATACGAGATTATATATTGGTATTTATTCTATCTTCCTAGTGATAGTGGTTGATATTATAATACGATGTATTAATGTCTTTATTTTCTTTACTGCTTTCTTTATTTCTTAGTTTGAGGTCAATGATTAGCGATTCACAATTTGAGACATATGGTATATACATGAGGATTTCCTTTTTTGGATTATTTCGTTCGACGTACTACGTCTCGTGTTGTGGATTTCTAATTATTGATTCCATTTAGATTGTTTATCTCTAGATTGGTATTAATATTTAGGCATCTATAATTTGAGACATATGGTATATACACGAGGGTTTTCTTGTTTGGATTATTTCGCTCGACGTACTACGTCTCGTGTTGTAAGTTTCTAAATGTTAATTCCACTTAGATACGGGGGAAAATGATCTAGGTAGACTATGCGTAATAGATAGAGCCTTCACTCCACCTAGTAGCCCTTCCCCTTGGGACGGATGGAGATAATCTTGTTGTAGCGCTCCGACGCTGTTGTTGTTATTCTTTTTGTTGTTTTCTTTTTTCTAGATGGTATAGAGGTACGGAGAGCCGCATGATGACGGAGTTCTTACATAGTCGTCGTCACATGAATTTTAGAGACTCTACAGTAAATTTTTTTTATTTATTTTATTCAGACATTAGAGTTTCATTCTCATATTATAAAGACAGTGTGCCTTAGTACGATTCTATTTGATTCATATTAACATTCTCATTATTTCAGTTATCAGATGAGTTACAGTTGAGACATGATTCTTTTATTTATGAGATATCTTTTCTATATCATGTCTATTGCGTTCATTTCCATATTTTGCATGTTTTGTACCTGCACTTTTATTTGATTCCACTAGAGGATATTACTGTGATTGGTGAAACGTGTTTATGCACAGTGTGGATACATGACAGGTTTGACATTTCTGGGTTTACCTTGGACTGCAGCCATCTGTGAAACCATGGACGTCACACCTAACTACATGGGACTAGTAGTCCCGTGTAGTTAAAAAAACACCGACAGCAAAATCAACTGTCTTCATCTTAGCTGGGATGAAGACGATCGATTTTGCTAATTTTTATGGGAGAAGATCAATTTTGCTCATTAATTTCTCAAAAGGATTGTTTTCAAAAATTTGTCCATAAAATGTGTTTTTAAAAGTTTTTGTAGTGGAGACCGTATACATATGTAGCGTATTTGGAAGATTAGGTTTAAAACAAATACATAAAGATGTTTGGGTCTAGGTTTATATGTACAAATAAAACTATTCGGGCTTAAAATAAATCAATGTAAAACTTTGGGTTAAGAGGTAGAAAACTCTGTAATTAAATATAAGTCCAATTTACACTTGGAATCATATACAAATTGGGTATATATTTATTAGAAAAAGGTTTCTCAAGAAAGGAACATTGATATGTATGTAAATTTGGTCAATATATGTGGAAAAATAACAAATTTTTATTTTTTTTCCTTTTAAAGAAAGGATTTTATTTATTATTATTTTTGGACAATAAAATCTTTTCATCGGGAAAATATTTTAGATTATGGATGTGTTTGGCAACATCTTAACTGGACTAGAATCAGTCTTGGTCTAGTTTTGAGCTCTTTCCTAATTTGACAAAAATTGGTTCTTTGTTAAATCAGTTTTTAAAGATCAAAACTAGCTTTTAAAACTGGTTCTCTTTTAAGCCACCTCATACTGGACTTTATTCTGAAATAATTTAAGATAAAAGTAGGTCTAGACGAATCATGACTCGCTTTTTGATTGGTAGCCAAACAAAGACAGTGAAATAAAAAGCTACGTACTAACGAGAGAAAGAAAAAGTTTATGCGTACACCGAATGATAATATCACCCAATGATAATATCTATTCATCTATAATAATGGGAGGACCCAAGAATCACTATTTATGACATAATAAATGAAACAGTAATTTACCGTAGCAGTATTTCTGTAGCATTTTCAAAGAAATATCACTGTATCATATGCGGTTTACTGTAGCATTATTAAAAATTACCGCAACATTTTAAAAATATGTTGTTGTAGCAGAGGTGGAATACTGTATCATTTTTAAAAATCTATTCGTCTATAATAATGAGAGGACCCAATAATCATTGTTCATGATACAATAAATAAAATAGTAATGTACTGTAGCAATATTTTTGTAGCATTTTTAAAAAATATTACTGTATCATTTTAAAATATGTTGCAGATGTAAGATGTTGTAGCATTTAAAAAAAAATTACTATCGCAATTAAAAAAATATTGCTATAACATTTAAAAATATACCTATACCGTAACAATTAAAACGAGATTATTATAACGATAAAAAAGACTGTGCTTCGCACGCGACGCACACCAGTGTATTTTAAATCAAGGACTATGGGGGTCCCACGCGAAACGAAATGACATGGCTTTCTTCTCGTGAAAGGCTTACGAAATGACAACTTGAATGGCCAATTCAGAGATTTGTTCTTGCTTTTGACTTAGGGCCCGTTTGGTTGGTTTCCTAAAATCAAAGAAAAGGAAATCGGTACAAGGAAATTAATAAAATAATATTTTTACCCATTTTCATCCCTAAAACTCACCCATAACATCTAATAAAATATTATTTTTATCATCTAACTCATCTCATTTCATCTCTTTTCTTACCTTTAAAAATAAACCAAACAAAAGAAATGTGTCACATCATCCAACTCATCACATCTCTTCTTATCTCATTTTTAAAAATCACACACATCATCCAATAATATTGTGACAACTCATCTCATCTCATTAAACCTTCCTTTCCATTCATTTCCTCAAAAAAAAAACAAGAAATTGATTTCCTTAAGTATGTGTCACATCATCCAATAATATATCTCCAACTCATATCATATCATCTATTTTCTTATTTTTAAAAACGAACCAAACACAAACAACCTTAAAACATCATCCAATAATATACCTCCAATTCATTTCCTTATTTTTTTAACCAACCAAACAACATCAAAACAATTTTTTAAAAAAATCACTCACATCATCCAATAATAAGGTGACAACTCATCTCATCCCATCTCCTATTTTATAATTTCCTTCTTTTTTAAACCAACCAAACAACCTCAAAACAATTATAATAGGAAATAGGTTTCCTATTCTTTGATTTCCCTTTCTCTTTTGCGAAACGAACAGCCCCTTAGGGTCTGTTCGTTTGCCTAAAAAAAAGATGGAAATCAAAGAAAATGAAACCTATTTCTAAGAAAAATAGGTTTTTGAATTGTTTGGTTGGTAAAAAAAAGAAGGAAATCAAAGAAATGGAGATGAGATGAGTTGAGTTGTCACATTATTATTGGATGATGTGAGTGATTTTTTAAGAAAACTAGTTTTGATGTTGTTTGGTTGGCGAAAAAAATAAGGAAATAGATTATAAGAAACCTATTTCATGTAGTTTGTTGTTTTCTTTTGTTTGGTTCATTCTTAAAAATAAAAAATGAAATGAGATGAGATGAGTTGTCATTGTATTATTGGGTGATGTGACCCACACTTAAGAAAAGTGTTTTCACAACTTTTTGGGATGAAAACAAAGAAATAAAATGTTAATGCCCACACTTAAGAAAAGTGTTTTCACAACTTTTTGGGATGAAAACAAAGAAATAAAATGTTAATGAGATAAGGTGAATTGTTATAATATTGGGATGAAAACAAAGAAATAAAATGTTAATGAGATAAGGTGAATTGTTATAATATTTTATTGGATGATATAAGTGATTTGAAATGATAAGAAGAGATGAGTTGAGTGATGTTAGATGAAAATAATATTTTATTAGATGTGATGGATGAGTTGTTAGATGAAAATAATATTTTATTAGATGTGATGGATGAGTGGTTAGATAAAAATAATACTTTATTAGATGATGTGGATGAGTTGTTGGATAAAAAAATATTTTATTGGATGTTGTGGGTGAGTTTTAGGGATAGAAATGGAAGAAATATTACTTTTTGAGATTTTCACCATTTCCATTTCCATTTCTTGATTTTTAGGAAATAACCGAACAGATCCTTAAAAGAATACGAGGTACTGTTTACTCCTGTTAGGTTCTTAATATATGGGGCTTATTTGTATGTGTACCGCTTAAATCACCTATGTTTACAAACATACCATTTAGTTTTTAGTATTTGCAAAACTACCACTCAAATCATCAACTTTGTAGAAAACACCCCTACATCAACAAATTATCAACTTGGTGATAAAATTTTACTATTTTATTGACAACTATTATATTATAATTACAAATTACTTTATCAAAGTTGATTAATTAATTTGAGGGTCATTCTTCTCTAAAATTGATGATTTTAGGGATTTGAAGGGTATTTTTTTCAAATATCCTTAATGTAAAGCTTATATATGCAAATAACCGTACTATGTTAGTATAGGCAAGGGTTAATCGGAGATGGTTGCCTTATTTCCATCAGATAAAGGGATTTCATATATTATCATCTACAGATAAATAAGCAAAATATATTACAAAAATGACCAACAAGAGTGAAGGAAAACAAAACTAACAGGTTGATTTCTCAAAACATTGTCTGCCAAATTGCTTCTTCCCCTTCTCCACAGCGCTCATGAACCTCATCCATCCTCTCTACAGACTTACAAATGCCGCTGCAGCTCCAGTCAAAGGATGCACCGCAAGGATTCCCTGCTTGGGCTTTCCACTCACAATCTGGCACATTAAAGTTGTATTAAAATCTTGTAGAATGAAGTATAGACGTATGAATTTACAATAATCATTTGCTTTGTAGTCTTGACTATGAACGTTAATACACACTCTTGGTTGGGGGTGTGTATATTTTTTTCTGTAACAACCTTTTTGTTAATTTAGCTGGCTGAATTACCTTTGTGGTAATCCAAATTTACAATAATCAAAGCGAAGTTAAGAGCCGTATGACGAAAAAGACACCATAAGCTGTCTCTCACAAGCGTGAGCTGGATTAGAAGTTGAAAAAGGTCGGTGAAGAAGGGGTAAGTTTTACACACACACCCCTCCCCCCAGCGGGACCCCCACCCCCACCCCCACCCAACAAAAAGAAAAAAAAAGCACCATGGATTACTCGCAGCATGAATACACCAAAAGCTATTTCTTACCTGGAAAAATACTGTATACGTTCATATCAGCAGAAATCTACCAAAGTAACAAAAACTATCACGAACTTCTATGTTATTGTCAGATGACTACCATGAACTTTCGGTTTCAGGTATTTACCAGAAGAGCATCATATCTTTCTAATAGTACGTGAAATCTTTATGCTAATTAGAAAGTTAGGATGTTTTCCCTTCAACAAAAATGTTTGCCAGTGTGATGCAAAACACCTGATCGTTTTATGCTAGTTTCGTGAAATTTACCCTTTGAAAAAAACGATGACTGGGGTTTTAAAGACGTGTAGTCAATATGACATTATGACCCCGATACTCTACGAGTTAGTGTCAAATTCCTAGATAAGTTAATTTTAAGCAATGGACAGCCATGCAATAAAAAATTGATAGGCAATTATTAGGTAAAATGTTTATTTTCGTTTATATCATTTTAGCTGATGCAACCAAGGAGAAAGCTATTGAATTTTCCAAGACCAGAAGGATGTTAAATATTAAGAATCAATAATAAAAAAATCCCATATTTCCAGTATATTATGTGGGAAGGATTACAATCAAGAGGTTAGGATGCAATAATTACTGCTGCTACATTGTCAATACATTTGCTGCATCAACAGCTATCTTCCGATTTCTCGTATGTTATATAATCAACCTTTGCACATTATTAGAAGAAATTATAATAAATTTTTTCACTAAACTAACGTGACTGGTAGGCATAGTACCCTATTAAAAAGTACGGTAACGCTTCTGCACCCTCTGACTCTGCAAATAAAATTATGGATAAAAAAAGTCTTCTTCAAAGTTCACTAACATCAACCTAGATGAATCCATTTGAGACCTGGCTAGTCGCAGCGAAGAAAGACACTACTGCTAGAAATGTGAATATGGTGAAAAGTGACAACTGAAGAGGGGAAAAAACTAGTTGATAACATGATACAGTTACAGAAATCAAGCATCAAATAAAGTAAATAAAGGAGGATTATCAACCTGGAGGAGTCCCGCAACAGAGACTACGTTCATCAATGTGTTCGACATCAAGACCAATGAACCAAGAACCTAAAGAAACATCTTCATTAGCATACCTGTGGAGTATGTGCCTGGAAAATTAAGGAACATTTTAATCACAGAATGAGAATAGAAAAAGAAACAAACATAACAAGACCAATAGGAAAACAACCATAATCAACTAACCTATTAACTGATATGTATGTGGCCAAATCCTTGGAGATAGCATACAACTGTCCTGTTGCATGTCTGAAGTACTTATTGCCCTCTTCTCCAAACTTCCAGTATTCTGGTTCGTGATATTTTACTCCTCTAAAGACATTCACCAAAGAAAAAACATGATCCCTAACATAGTCTAAATATGCCAACTTAGAAATTAACTAGGTTACTTCAGATCTTACTGCTTTGCCAGAACCTGTCCGGATTTCATACAGCCTATATAAACACGTGGTTTTGACCTGTGACGTGCTAGAATTGAACCAATAGTAGCTGTTGCAAAGTAAATCATCAAACATACTCTATTAAACTAAGAATTCCATTAGCAAATGTGTTGCAAAATCCAGTAAAGGTTGAGGTAATAAACCAAGATTAACATGCACATCATCATCGACTTTAATATAGAAATCAGCATCCCATTTTGCTACTGCCAAGGAAAAATATATCCGAGTTTTCAATGATAGTTCATGGTACCCTTCAATATGGTTCTGTAAAAGAGATTTCCCATTATTTACTAGTTCAATTCCCGAATAAGTACAAAGTTTTGATAGGAATAGACTCAATGGTCCTAATTAGAGATTTTACCAGTCTAAGGAAATCTTTTTGTTGTTCTATTTCCGCATCAATGGCACGCTCCACAACACCACCAGGGGTTGCACTAATAAATTCACAGGCATATAACTTATAAGCTGATACATAACATCAAGTCAAAATGCGAAGATAGATCACTAAGTTTAAATAACATCTCTCACCTGTGGCCAATAACAAAACGCATAATAATCCCTCTCTCTTTCTCCAACCTTCTCAATTTCTCCCCTGCCATTAACGAGCATTCTATGTCTAAACTGCACATTTATTAGTTCGACACTAGCACAGATAAAGTGAAAGGCTAAGGTACCTTGAGGCATCCAAGTCTCTCTGATCGAGTCTCTTCGTTTTCTGCTGCTGAATGCAGTCATGATTCCCATCACAAAGAAGACCTTAGGGCGATACTTTGGTTGATTTATTGGTGGTCTTGCATAAATTGGGAACTTTTCCTTGTTATTCTCTTGTGCAGCTCTAGCTACTACTAGTTGCATCTCCAGACTGGAAATTGTTCTGTCTAATGTCCTGAAGCATGTTACCATGAACAGATTATAATAGAATCTAAAAAGGGGTAAATTGCAGATAACCCCCCTTGTCACACATCACTCTTTTGTTAGCATTTATCACTTAGGCTTGGTTTTGAGAATGATAAATTGTAGATAACCACCCTCTCCCTTACAAATTGAGCCATAATGCTATTGGACATAGAGATTACAGGGGTTACTTCAGTACCACTTATTACCCATCAACTCTTTTATTATTAGCGCTTAAATCCCTGTATTGGCATTTTGAGAAGGATAAATATAAACCCCATCTCCTTTTCGAATTGAGGGGTAATAAATGTTATTGAAGGTATAGAATTAGATGAGGGGGGTTGCCTGCAATTTATCCTAAAAATTGAATTATCCAATACTACTACCACTTTCATGAGTCCAAAACAGATAAATAACTAAAAGAAGAAAAATGTAAATACAAAAATAGGACTTGCACAGCCCTAACAAAGGATTACAGAAAGTACATGATTACATCTTGAGCTTGTGAAACTTGATTAAGAATACCACCAGCATGAACGGAGCTTTCCTGGATTACGGAAAGAAAAATTAGCAATGCATTGAGATAAAAGGTTGTAATGCATGAATGTGATTGTTAACTATAACCTAGAAATCCTGCAGTTAACATACCATCTTTTGGCAACTTATATTGTCTTTAAGAGCGCCCTTTTGATACCTCTCCTCCGATGTATCTTCGTTTTCTTTATCTAGCTCGACAGTCCAAAATCTGCTAAAACAGTGTACAGGATTCTATTATGAGGCTATCTTTGATGTAGGAAACGTCTCAAATTAACTGAGCATGCCACGTTTATGTGTGTGATCGCCTTAAGAAATATCATGGTATTATTCCTTACTGCCTTTTCAGCGAAAGCATATAAATAAAAGCATTCTTTGTGTTCATATAAATGTGGGTGCTGCAGCGGATAGTTATTGTTGACATTAGTAATTATATAGGGTCTTATATTCGGTAAGTTGTGTAGGGGCCTTATATAAGCCAAGAGATCGTCATAAATAAGTTAGGGTTCTATTTCAGACTTGGTTATTAGACTCTGCAAACCTACAGCGCCGCACCCATCCCCTCCAACACCGGCTGCCCCACCCCCCCCATCCCCCTGCTCGGCCTTATCAGCCCCCACTTTCCCCGCCCTCTTTTCAGTATCACCGGGAAAACCCCTCTCCTCTGTCGGTATCACGCGGAACCCCCCCTCCTAATTCCGATCAGCCTCCCCCCCCCCGCCCTCATTCCGATCAGCCCTCCCCCCGCCTCAATTTCCGATCGAGCCCATACCCACCCCCTCAATTCCGTATCAGCCCCCCCAATTCGAACAGCCCCCCCCCCCCCACTTCCGATCAGTCCCCTTTTTTTGCTACACCGTGTCGAACCTCGAGTTTGACATGGATTCCATCGACTCAGTCCTCGAACTGATGACAGGAAGAGTATTTATCTCTCGGCGATGAGATATATCACTGTTTTGATTCTTGTTTCCTCTGAAAAACGAGAATTTGTCTGAGATCTTACTCTTGTTGTGTAGCAGAGGTGCTGCCGAAATTTTCACTGCACACAATAAAGGTCAGAAGAGACGATGACCAGGTGTTGGGTCTGAAGCTTGATCAATGGAGGAGATTTTTAAGAAGTTGAACCCCGCGGAGGTGTCAACTTTGATGAAGCTGATGAAATTATCGGCTGGTGAGAGCGCGACAAAACCATCCAAGAAGTTGGAACTTCCTACCATAGATCTGAAGCTTGATGGACCGGGTACTTACCTGAGCTGGTCACGGCGGGTGAGATACACCCTTACAGGGAGAAACCTGGAGGGTTATCTGACAGGAGATGTGACAAAGCCGGAGGGGGACTCAGAGGGTAGAGATGAGTGGAAGGCTACTCATATGTTGATATACATATGGCTCCTCAACTCGTTGGTCCAGTCGATCGCCGCCACAGTGGATGGCATTGAGAAGGTGAATGATGTCTGGGAAAAGTTAAGGAGGACCTATGATGGAGTGGGGAATAACCCGAGGGTGTTCCAGATTAAGGGTGAGGTCGACGCCACAGTCCAGGGGGATAGGACTGTACAGGAGTATGCCACAGAGCTGGAGTGACCGTGGGCTTGATTATGATCACTTCTCACCTCGGGCGAGCTGCAAGGACCCGGGATGTAAAGAACGGGAAGCCTTTCTACAGGACAGGACTATGGTGTTTCTCAAAGGATTGACATCAGAGTTCGCTCAGCGAATCGCATTGCTGCTAGCTCAGCCAAAAATTCTCACGCTTGAGGAGGCTGTCTCTGCTATGATCCAGGAGGAGACTCGCATTCGGCTGCAGGCGGGGACATGTGGACTTCCTGTGGTGAAGTCAGCACTGACAGCCTCTAGCAACACTGGATCTAGAGGAGAGACTCGACAGTGCTACAACTGCGGTGCGGTGGGTCATCTTAGGCATGCTTGCACCAAGCCACAAAAGGAAGGAGATTCGGGTGGATGTGGACAGTTCGGAGGTCATGGTCGTGGCCGTAGGGGTCGACGAGGTGGAAGAGGAGCAGGGAACCGAGCGAATCTGACGGTAGCAAAGGAAGAAGAAGCTGAGGTGGTCTTTACTGAGGAGGATCGTGCTCTCTTGACGATACTCAGGAGGAAGCAGCAAGTAGCAGGGGATGGGACTGAGGAGGCATCCATTTTGTTCTTCGCCAGAGGCAACACTGCTACCTATGCTCATCCGATCAAAGATACTGATGATATACATGCTCTTGCTTCTATGTCTCCCGACAGATCATCAGAATGGATAGTCGACTTCGGTGCGTCTCACCATGTGATAGGTAATGCTAGTGAGTTCTCATCATATACTCACTTAGTATCGCCTGATAGTATTCAAACAACTGATAGTACATTTCAGCCGGTGGTTGGTAAGGGTACAGTCGATTGTACTGGTTCTGTAAATTTGTCCAATGTTTTGTATGCTCCTTCCTTTCCAGTCAATCTTTTATCCATTAGTTCTATCATCCTCCAACTAAAATGTATTGTTTTTTTTATATTCCCAGGGTGATTTTTTAAGAAAAAGGGACAGGGCGGAGACTTGGGACTGGCACATGACGTAGTGGACTGTGGTATCTGGATCGTGAAGGGCTGGATTCAGCATTGGTGTCAGTTATAGAGGAAGCAAGAGTAGGATCTAAAATGAGTGCTGAGAATGAGTTAATGCTTCATCACCAGCGTTTGGGACACTCATCATTTAGTATTTTAAGTAGATTGTATCCTTCTTTATTTGAGAAAGTAAATAAACAGAAACTTGTGTGTGATGCATGTGAGTTTGGAAAGCTTACTAGAAGCTCTTATGTTAGTTCTGGTCATAGAAGTTCTCATGTATTTGACTTGGTACATTCAGATATTTGGGGGCCTTGTTCCACAAGTTCTATGAATGGATACAAGTATTTTGTTACATTTATTGATTGTTTCTCTCGTGTGACTTGGTTATACTTGATGAAGAATAAGAGTGAAGTGTTTGGGTGCTTCCAAAACTTTCATAGGAATGTTCAAACTCAATACGGCGCAGTGGTGAAGATATTAAGGTCGGATAATGGGACAGAGTATACCACAGAGCGTTTGAAGAATATTTGTCAGCTCAGGGAATGCATCACCAGACGACCTGTCCATACACACCAGCTTAGAATGGGATAGCGGAAAGGAAGAACATACATCTTTTAGAGGTTGCTAGAAGCATGATGATCTTTATGAATGTCCCAGAAACGTTGTGGGGGCAAGCAGTGTTGACCGCAGCATTGTTGATCAACAGAATGCCCTCGAGAGTGCTGGATTGGAAGTCTCCGTGTGAGTCGTTGAAGGGTGATAATGGTGGGCTTCTTCCACTTAAGGTGTTTGGCTGTGTGTGCTTTGTGAAGGACAACAGGCCGTCCGTCGGGAAGCTTACCCCTAGAGCGGTGAAATGCATCTTTGTGGGATATTCTGCTACTCAGAATGGCTATGTTTGCTGGAGCCCGGTGGAGAAAATGTTGTTTGTGAGCATGGATGTGCACTTTCGAGAACTCGAGTCATATTACACCCAGAAGGTAACTTCATCCGTTGATAACTCGCCTAATACTAGAAGTATGAGGCGAGAGGAGGAGAATAGTGAGAGATTGGTGAATGTGGAGAAATCAATGTCTGAGAATGGTGAGAGATCAGAAAAATCAATTTCTGTAATGATTCTTTGGGAAGGAGACTTGGTTGAGGAGCAAGAGAATGAAGAAGAAGAGGAGAATGAGACAAGAGGTGTTAGGCTAACGACTCAAGGGGAACTACTTACCTATAGTAGGAAGGAAAAACAAATTGCGGGAACAGTACCTACAGTGCCACTGGTGCCAAGTCCATTGCCAACGCCTGCCCCGACTCCTGAGACACCTACACCATCATCAGATTCCTCTCAAGGTGATTCCATTCCTCTTCCTACTCCTCGCACACCAATAACTGTACGGAGGACTACTCGCAGTAATGCGGGAAATCCTCCCGATAAATATGGTTGAGATCTTACTCAGTTTGTATCATATTCTAACATCCACCCTGCACATGGAGCATTCATTGCATCACTGGACTCTGTTACTATACCTAACAATTGGCAGGTTGCAAAGAAGGATCAGAAGTGAAAAGCTGCTATGCACGAAGAGCTAGGGGCCCTTGAGAAGAATCGCACTTGGGAGTTAGTAAAACTACCAAAAGGGAAGAGAACAGTTGGATGCAAATGGGTCTTTACCGTGAAGCAGAATCCAGATGGACAGGTTGAACGATACAAAGCTCGTCTGGTGGCAAAAGGATATAGTCAGACATACGACATCGACTATGATGAGACTTTTGCACTAGTGACGAAGATGAGCACTGTTCAGACCTTGATCTCTCTGACAGTAAATGGTGAATGGAAGCTACACCAATTAGATGTGAAGAATGCATTTCTTCATGGAGATCTGGTGGAAGAGGTATACATGGAAATTCCGTCAGGATTCAACACAGAACAAATAGTGGGCAAGGTCTGCAGATTGAAGAAGTCTCTATATGGCCTAAAGCAATCTCCTCGTGCTTGGTTCGACAGATTTAGGCGGGCTATAATAGGTATGGGATACCGACAGATTAACGCTGATCATACCGTGTTCTTTCGACGAAATAAAGGTCATATCACCATGCTTGCGGTATATGTGGATGATATGATTATTACAGGAGATGATGAGGAGGAGATTACCAAACTCAAAGTGAGACTGAGTAAGGAATTCGAGGTGAAAGATCTTGGCTTGCTTCGATACTTTCTTTGAATAGAAATAGCTCGCGAAGCGGAGGGAATTGTCTTATCCCAGAGAAAGTATGCAATGAATCTTCTTAAAGAGATAGGGATGTTAGGGTGTAAACCTGCAACTACACCGATCGACCAGAAGTTCAAGCTGGGTGCTGAAGCTGGAGAACCAGTTGATCGTGACAGATACCAAAGGCTGGTGGGCAGGTTGATCTATCTGAGTCACACACGTCCCGATATCTCTTTTGCAGTGAGCATGGTGAGCCGCTACATGCATGATCCGAGGAAGGGTCATATGGACGCTGTGTACCAGATTCTGAGATATCTGAAGAGTGCCTCTGAAAAGGGGCTGATATTCAGAAAGAGTGGACATGTGAGCATCGAGGGTTATTGCGACTCTGATTGGGCTAGCTGTGCTGATGACAGGAGGTCCACCTCAGGATACTGCATCTTTATAGGAGGCAACTTAGTCTCGTGGAAGAGCAAGAAGCAGTCAGTGATGGCGAGATCAACAGCTGAGACAGAGTATAGAGCTATGGCCTTAGGAGTTGCTGAGTTGTTATGGTTGAAGAGTATGTTGGTTGAGCTGGAGCTGGATCAAGGAGCTAAGATAAAGTTATGGTATGATAACAAGTCAGCTATCAGTATCGCCAACAACCCAGTGCAGCATGATAGAACCAAACACATCGAGATCGATAGGTTCTTCATCAAAGAGAAGTTGGATAGTGGACTACTGGAGCTAAGTCATGTTTTAACTAAGGACCAGACAGCAGATTGTCTGACTAAAGGACTTAGCTCATTAGACATGATTAGAGGATGTGACAAGATGGGCTTAGTGGATATCTTTCGCCCATCTTGAGGAGGAGTGTTGACATTAGTAATATATATAGGGTCTTATTTGTAAGTTGTGTAGGGGCCTATATAAGCCCAAGAGATCTCATAATAAAGTTAGGGTTTCTATTTCAACTGTTACATCTATCCATAATGCAAGATGGCAGAAACTATCAAATTAAACCATCAACACTTCAAAATTTTAGATAGAAGTGAATACAATACTGATTGCGCTACATGATTAAGTTACATACAGATAATGTAAGACAAATCTATTTGACGACGCATTTGTATCATGGACTAATTCTTGCAATTTATAACTCCATATGGAATTTAATCGAAAATTTAATCCAAACTGTATCAAATCTAAGGGCAACAGGTAGCCTTACATGAGGATCAAACTGGAAAAAAAAATATCCGCAATCGGTGCAAAATCAAACAAGGCGGTTCCCAAATCACAAACGAACTCACATTGCAGAATAGAGAAAAATCGTAACTAGATCAAACCCAACTCAAGAAGTATCATAAAATTTTCAATTCTTGATACGTAAAGCAAATCCAAACTAGACCCAGCAACAATCAAAAGAAGGAAATCACAAAGAACCCATTTGTTAATGAAACAAAACAAAGACCAAATAGGGGGGAACACGAAATGTTACCTGTTGACAACGAAAACACCCAAAAAGAAGCAAGAAATGCAAAGAAAAGAGACCCATCTGGCGGAAAAGCCAGCAGCCGCAACCCTCTGGTGCCTGATACCTATCACTGCACCCATTGACAATGTCAATAACACCCTCTACTATCTCCTTCTAAGCTTCACCATCAGAACCCAAAGCTTTCCATTAAACCCAAAAACTCCCACGAGGCATGAAGGATATAATTGTTTACTAGACTGTAATAAGAGTACTGGCCATCTCCCTCTGGCTTTTGCTTTCTATTCTTTGCTTTTTTTGGGCTCAAATTGTTTCAAAATTGTTTCGTCTTTCTCGGTTCAAACAACTATTTTTTTTCTTCACTCCTTTAACTCTGTTGTCTCGTACTCATTGCTGGCTCACTTGCCCATGTGGTCGATTCTGATGGTCTTTTGAGAGCTGTTTAGCTTATCCGGTTTCCTTGCTAGTGTAACATCGCTAATCAGGATAACTTTAGGACGACGGACTAGTGTGGTGCACAGTATTGATTTGAATTGTTATAATTCTCAATTTAAGTTTACACTATTGATTCAAATTGTTATAATTCTCAAATTAACCCACTGAGAACCTGCGTATGCTATAGACCACCTGATTATATAGGGGATGTTCATAGAATCCTTACGCATGTAACATTAGTATGGGTATAAATTTTATCAGAACATTTGTTATGAGCCACTCGCGAGGAAAATAGAGAGCCTATTTGAAAATTATAATTGTTCTCTTTATGTTTAAAACATTTACATTTGTATAGAGAAATTTTTGATAAAATTTGTATTCACGTAAAACGGGCTTATTATCAAAAGCTCTTTTAATTAAGATTGCATCGAACATGTAAATGATGTCCTACAAAATTTTCCAATACAGAAGTTCACCTTACGATGAACGATCGAGAATGTTGAGAACTATTTCACCAATGCAATGTTGAAAAAGGCGGAAAAATCACATGAGAAAAGAAGCTACAGGAACTCTCGGGTCGGTCGACTGATCGAAGTCATCAGTCGACTGATCATGTGCACTCTCCAGGATTGGAAAACAACGCACTCATCAGTCGACTGATGAGCCTTCATCAGTCGACCGATGGACATCCACCAGTCGACTGATGAGGACTCATCAGTCGATTGATAGTGAATATTGGGCCGATTCGGATTCCTAGTCTATTTTGGTTTGGGTGTTGATATAAATAGAAACACGTTTTTTAGGGTTTAGAGACAGATTTAACAGAGAAAAGAGATTGTTTTGAGCACTTTGAGAGGGAGATTATTGTGAGGGAGTGAGATCTTTTGGTTAGGGTTATTTTGATTGTTTGAGAGAGTTGTAACACATTGTTGTTCTCCTCCATATAGTGAAATCTCCTCATCCTCTCCTCGTGGACGTAGGCAACTTGCCGAACCACGTAAATTCTCTGTTTTTGTGATTGGTTTTGGTCGTTCTTTTGTGAATTGTGCTTGTGGTGTTCTTCTCGCATTGTTTACCGACTCGTCGTGGGTTGTACATGCTTTCGCCGGGCGTAACAAGTGGTATCAGAGCCGAATTTTAGATCTAGGGTTTGATTTGAGTGGAGGAAAACTCGGTGTTGGAAGCTTGAATCTTGGAGATCTAGGTTTTCGTGGAGATAGCGTTGCGGAGTTGCCATTGGAGATCTTGCCTTTCTCGCATGGTTGGGAGATTATTTGGAATCCTATCTAGGGTTTAATTTGAGTGATTTCTCAACTCTATTAAGTTCGAATATTTCCTCTATAATTTGGAGTTAGTAAGCAATGACAGGAGAAAGTGGAGAAAGTAGCAAGGCTGCGTCGAGTACAGTTCAGGTTACACTTTAGAATATGAAGATAAGTATTGTGAAGTATGACGACAAAATCAACTTTGGGTTGTGCATGAGTGATGTGTAGGATGCATTGAATGCTCAAAACTTAGAAGAGACGATTATGACTCATAAGAGGCCACCGAAATATGATGAGGCGATATGGGACAAGAAGAATTGAAATGCAAGTGGGGTAATTAGATCTTGTTTAGAACAAGAATTGAAATATGATGTGATTGGCATGACGTCTGCGATGAAGATGTGAGAGATTCTTAACAACAAGTATCCTACGAAAAGTGTTGAGAATCAGTTGCACTTGCTGCGGAGATTATTCAGATTCCAGATGTTCAGGGACACCTTACTTGCAGATCATGTGAATAACTACACAAAGTTATTGTCGGACTTGGCAAATATTGATGAGAAGATATCAGATGAGTACAATGTGATCATTTTGTTAAGTTCATTACCAGATGAGGATTTTGATACCTTTGTGCTCACATTGTTAAATGGTAGATCTTCCATCACCTATAGTGAAGTGACTAATGTATTGACAAATTTCGATTTGAGGAGGAAGGATAAAGAGTCTTCCAGAGCTAGCACTTCAGGAGAAGCCTTATCGACAAGAGGAATGAGTCTCAATCCTAGAGGTGGTAATCGAGGCAGGTCAAAGTCAAGAGGCTACTACCAAATTGCGAAGAACTAATGTGCTTTCTGCAGAGAAAAATGACATTAGAAGAGAGATTACCCGAAGCTTAGAGTGAAGGAGAATAGTAAGAAGAAGGGCCCGAAGGCCAATGAGGTGAATGTTGCTAAGTGTGGTAACAATTCTGATGATTCATGCTTTTCTTTATTGATTACTCTAGAGATTAAACATGCAGAAGCATCAGATTGGATGCCAGATCCTGGTGCTACTTATCATATGACTCCCCGGAGAGATTGATTTGTATCTTTTGAGAAACTCAATGGGGGTGAGGAGGTCAAGGGAAATAATCGGTCTCGTGGGATTTGTAGGATAAGTACAGTCAGGATTATGATGCACGATGGAGTTGTGAGAGAATTGAATGAAGTATTTGTTCCCCAGTTGAAGAAGAATCTTATTTCTGATAGAGCTTTGGAGGCAAAGGGATTTAAGGTAACTTTTGAGAACGTTGTAGCTAAAGTTACTAAGGGATCATTGGTAGTGATGAAAGCAGTCCGCGATAGAAATCTTTATTATCTGAAGAGAAGTACCGAGATTGGCCAGGTAGCTTCAGCAGTTTCAGAGGCGGATGCTAGCAGCTTTGGCACTTCAGACTTTGGCACGTAGGGGAAAAATCACTGCAGGTACTGTGGAAGCAATGATTATTAAAGGGAGCCAAGAGTGGGAAAGTTAAATTTTGTGAGCACTGTATTCTTGGCGAGAAGACTAAAGTGAAGTTCGAGACAACCATTCATAGGACAACTGGCATCTTAGACTATGTACACACGGATGTTTGGGGTCCTACCAAGATGGTATCACTTTGTGGTCGATATTGGTTCGTCATGTTTGTAGATAATTATTCTAAGCGTTGTTGGGTGTACACCATGAAACAGAAAAATGAAGTCCTAGAGATATTTGTGGAGTGGAAGAGAAGATTGGAACTGCATATAGGAAGAAAGATCAAGATGTTGAGATCTGAAAACGGTGAAGAGTACACATCAGACCCCTTTCAGTAGCTATGTCGAGACGAGGGCATAGAGAGACACTTCACAGTTAGTCATACACCACAACAGAATGGAGTGACAGAGAGGTTGAATCGGTCTTTACTGGAGAAGGTCTGATGTTTGTTATCGCAGAGTGGTTTAGAGAAGATCTTTTAGGCTAAGACACTTACGTATGCGAGCCACCTTATTAATATGCTACATTCATCTGCGATAGAAAGAAAGACTCCTATGGAGATGTGGTCGGGAGAACCAACACATGATTATAATCATCTTAAGGTTTTTAGGTGCCCTGTATTTTATCATGTTAAAACTGATAAGTTGGAACCTCGAGCTAGAAATGTCATATTTGTGGGTTTCAAACGTGGAGTGAAAGGATATAAGCTTTGGCATCCAGTTTAGAAGAAGATTATGCTGAGCAGAGATGTCACATTTGATGAGGCTTCGCTCTTGAAGTCTCCTATCTCTCATCAGGTGAAGAGCATCACGACAGAGAAGACATCACATGTAGTGGAGATTAATGCAGCTCCACAGTATCTAGATGGGACCATATCCATTAGAGTGATGACTGAGATGACGCCAGGTGAGCACAATGATGATTTGGAGGATACAGGTATAGCAGAGCAGGATCAAGGATCGACGATTCAGGTTCAGGATTCTATTACAGTTCGGAGACCTAGGAGAGACATACGGTTGCCAGCGAGGTATACAGATCTAATGGTTGCTTATATACTTCCGGTAGAGAGTGTCGATAAGATGGTTCCTACTACCTTCAGAGAGGCTGAATAGAGTTTAGAGGCTGATATGTGGTAGGAAGTTATACGGGAAGAGATAGAGTCTCTTCAGAAGAATGACATATGGGAGCTTGTCGAGCTTCTAAATGGGTAGAAGGCAGTTGGTTGCAAATGGGTGTATACCAAGAAGGAGGTCGTTCAGTGCACTCCGGTGAGGTTTAAATCTAGGTTGATAGCAAAGTGTTATGCACAGGAAGAAGGTATTGAGTACAATGAGGTCTTCTCTCTGGTGGTGAAGCACTCTTCGATTTGGATCTTACTAGCTTTAGTGACATAATATAAATTGGAATTGGATCAGTTGGACGTGAAAATAATTTTTCTTCATGGTGATCTTGATAAAAAAAATTTATATGACTTACCCATTGGGGTTTCGAGCTGCAATGAAGGAAAAATTGGTGTATAGATTGAAGAAATCGCTATACGGGTTGAAACAATCTCCAAGACAGTGATATAGGTAATTTGATGGGTTTATGATCGGCAAGTCGTACATTAGGATCCAATTTGATCCTTGCGTGTACTATCATAAGTTGCATGGAGGTGCGTATATTTATTTGTTGCTTATATCGATGACATGTTGGTTGCTTCCATTTCCAGATCTGCCATAGATGAACTGAAGATACAACTTTCGAGCGAGTTTGAGATGAATAATTTGGGTGAAGCAAAGCGCATTTTGGGGATAGAGATCGGTAGAGACAGAGATAAGGGTAGAACTTGTTTGACACAGGTTACTTATTTGAAGAAGGTGCTACAGTGATTTAATATCAGTATGGAGATGAAGCCAGTCGGTGTACCTTTGAGAGCCTATTTGAAGCTTTCACCTGATCTTTCACTGAAGTCAGTTGAAGACATAGAGTTGATGTTGAAGACTCCTTATGCGAGCGTAGTGGGAAGCTTAATGTATGTCATGGTATGTACGAGGCCGGATTTGTCACAGGTAGTTAGTATGGTTTCACGATACATGCATGACCCGAGTTCGGGTCATTGGAATACCGTGAGGTGGATTTTGAGATATATTTGAGATACTCTCAACATTAATTTGGTGTTTGAGCGG